TTACTATTGGTACAACAGTGTTTGTGCAAAAGTTCATACTATAGCGTGTATTATGAAAAAGTAAATATTTTTCCATACTGGTCCTGTTTTCTGTTTTTTTTTTTAATAAAATTGTGCAAGAAAAACCATTAAATAATAATGAAAATGTTGCATTTTTTAAATTATGCAAATTGATTTTTTTCAAAATCATGCTTTTTTTAAATCACATATGTTGAAATTGTTGTTGTTTGAAAATTGATTCATTTTGTTAATTTTTTTTTTGTATGTATTAAAAATGTGTGAGTGGATTTGTTAACATCATATTTAAAAACATATTGAATAAATGATATTTATACTTAAAAATTCACGGACATACATATAGATATACCTGCAGATCCTATGTCTATGCAGATCCTATGTATGTATATCACTTCCGCTATATTAAACAACAACTTTCTAAGGTTTAATGAATTGAAAAGTGTTTCTGTATAGATTACACCCTACATTACATAGAGTAAAAAGGAGCCTAATGATCTTAAAATATATTAATTCGAATACTGTCTAAAACGGTTATAATGACTCCTTGTAAAACTGCTGGAATTATGTTTAAATTTATGTGTGGACAAACAACACAAGTTAACATACACACTCAGAGATATAATTAAATATTTATTATGTCAATGTAAATTACAGTTATGTTAAAAAATTGATACTTCCGATATAGTCTCTAGAACGAAATGTAACAGTCCATAGTTTCTAAACAAATGATTGATAAAGTTATTAATGGCTTATAACAGCATTTTTTGAAAAAAAAAAAATTATAAACCAAAAACAATTGATAAATTATGAGTACGGGAATAAATATTAAAATTTTCAAAATTTTATTTAAACCATATAATAAGCTCATTCCACAGTGAGCACTAAGCTTCTTTGTAATATAAAATTTTTCAAAATTTTAATTTTAATTGGCCCTAAAATACTCGAAAATTTTGTAATTAATTTTTTTCGAATTATTTAATTTTCCCTCGCTGTAAAAAAAAATCATACAATTATGATTTTCAATAATGTGAGTAATAATAAAATTAAACAGAAACTACACGGTTTTAAATAAATGTTGCATTTACCAGTGATGTATTCCTGTCAAATGGATATTAAATGTCAATTATCTTGTAATGAAAATATATGCAATAATTTGTGTTAATTGCAAAAAAAAAAGGAAAAAATATATTAAAAAAGAAAATAAATTCAAGTTTTGTAGATACGAGTAATATATAAAATCATAAAAAATCTGTTGATATTTAATTAATATGATGTGATTTTATAAATATTGTATTAATAAAAATAAACGAGTCAATATAAAGAATAGTAGGGCGTGCTCTATTTTCAGGAACAAAATAATCAACAGTAACTATTTACCGGAACGAATATACTTTAAATTTTGTAAAAATTTTAAAAGCCGACTTTTGAAATTTTTTGTTATATCCGCAATCAAAAAAGATGGGCGCATATATTGATTTTGTCATTCAGTTTGCAACATAGCGAAATATTGTTCGTAGACCCTTAAAGAGATATATATTTTGGGCCCTTCTTAAATTCTAAGACGTTCATCTGTTTGTCTGTTGAAAGCACGATAAGGTCCGAACGGTATTGAAAATATATGATGTCGGTAGACGTTATCGTATCGCCCCCATACAAGTGGCCTCCTAGAATAAAGTTTAAAAAGTCACAAATATGTTAATTAGGCAGGATAGTTTTATTTACCCAGAAATTATTCTACGACAGACATTGCTTCATAATTGACCGTACCCCTATAGAAGGATCCCTTCAGAAAATTACTTTAACGCTCACTAATGGCATAATAGTAATAAAATTCAACATAAACTACTTTAGAATAACGAAATTCTCCCAGCTTAATTTTATAAGGAGTTTTAGACACGTCCCTTGAGAAAGGATTTAGGAAGATAAAATTTTTCCAAAATATTGTTTCGTATATAACTTAATGAATGATTCAAAAATGCTAGCAATATAATTCTACATTATTTTTTTTTATAGAAACCAAAACCTCTCTACCAAATTCCTTTCAATATATTACCCTTGTCCCTACATTGAAACAAGTTTGATATCAAGAAGTTTTATGGTAGGTAACTAGAATTTTATTTTAAAATTTTATACGGATCGGTCCATATTTGACACTAATCCCTATATATGTTCTATGTCCTATAATGATGATCTTTCAGGAGATGACTTCAATCTTCAATCAAGCAAACGTAATGATAAATTTTAAAGTAAGAAAGTTCTATAAGATCCAAAATCTCCGCCAAGTTTTATAAGGATCGGTACATGATTGTACGTAATCGATTCGTAAAATAAAAACAACTTCTGGTTTTGAAAGATTATGTCAAAATAAGGAGTTATTGCATTTTAAAATTACTGTTACTTGATTTTATAAAATAATTTATTTAATTTGTGATTTTAGTTCCTTCCTAATATGTATAAATTTTAATTCATTTTGTAATTTATTTATTATTATTAAATATTTTTATGCTATTTGATTAACTGCATATTTTAATACAATTTTAAATGTTTTTTAATTTGCATGCAACTATTGTTTACCAATAATTAAATAAATTAAATAACAATTTAGGTTACAAGGATATACATATGTATTATAATTTAATAAAATTATAATTAAACTAAATACAAAACTAGTAACATTGTTGTTGTTATTGTTTAAATATACATTTTGCAAGAGGATTAACAAAAACTTTTTGAAAACGAAAGAACTTATTCAAAAACTTCTGAACTATAAGATTAACAGTAAATTAACTTAAAATCTTTGTGAATCAGTAGAGGTTTTTAAAAATCTTAACAATTTCAACAAAAGTCTTTGGAAAAGTAGTACATAGTTCCAGAACTTAATTCTTTAATACTGAATTCGAACAAAAATCAGTTCTATAGAACGAGTTCTAACAAAAATCATTGGTCTCAGCGTCAAAATAGAACGATATAATTCGTTTCGATAAACGGTATATATAATAATGGTCTTAAAACTAATAACATTTTTATATCTTTAGAAATAGTTCTAGAAAAAATTTAAATTAACTTTTAGATAAATTTACTACATATTTAATTTATATTTTGTTGAAAAATGTTTTATTTCAAGAAAATTCATTATTTTATGAGTAATTTCTGATTTTTTTTTGTCTCGGAATATTTAAAGTCCGCCCATTTTCTCCAAAATGTTCAGATGAATTTTAAGGTTCATCGTGCAAAATTAATTTTTGTATTTAACTCATATGGCAGATGCCACGCCCATATTGGTAGTCCCCTAATTTATTACACAAAATGTTTACATGTATAAAGTTCTTCGTGCAAAATTTGAAGAATCTAATTCTAATAGTTTCCCAGATAAACGAATTTTTGTATTTAATTCTTATGGCAGGTACCACGCCCCTACTGCTACTCCGCCCAATTTTTGTTTGACACTAAAGTGGTTCCGACAAAATTTTAGGATTCTAACTGTTATATTTTCTAAGATATACTGATTTAATATTTTTTCATACGGAAGGTCCCACGCCCACTATATCAATTACGCCCATTTTGTCCAGAACTATTCTTATGGTTGTCAAAGTTTTCATAAAATTTAAAATACATATTGTTTAACATTCTTCTTTCTGAATACGGGCCTAAGAAAATTTCACGAAAATCGTCTATAAACTTCAAATATACAAATAATCATAAATTAATTTTTATATATATGGGGCAATTTCATATCAAGTGACCCAATCAAAAAATCAATTTTGTTGAATTTTTCACCAAGGTTATTACTATTGGATAGTTTCAGCTTTATAGGATAGGTCAGTTTTATAGGTCAAGATCTGCCGGACTTAGAGGGGGTCAAAGCTGGACCATTTGGACACACAGGGTTTTATTGAAATAACCCTGTAACTTTTCACCTATTGGTCCTAGCAAAAATTGTCCCAAGGAGTTCAGATAGCTATTTTTAAATCTAATCTATTTTAAACATTGGAACACTTGACACGAAATTGCTCATAGATAAATTTTCGGAAAATTTTATATTTTTACAAAATTTGGGATAAATTTAGATTAAAACAAAAAAACTTTTTCTAGGAAAATTTTTGATATTCTTTGTAATTTTCGTTAAATTTTATTATTTAGAAAACTTTTTGGAAAATATTCAAAATAAGCTATATTTTGTCTTACATACGGAAATAGTCGGTCTAATGCATATATTTTTATCTAAATATGTTTTTTTCATATTTCTAACGCCTAAAACAAAACATGATTTAGAAAAAAAAAACAATTTTATTGCAATTGTGTTTAAAGCTGCCTCATCTGGGATTTGCACTTCATAAACATATAAAAATTGTATATTCCAGTGTTGTAGGAGGCATTCTATAAAATTTCAAATACTGATGACGTGAAATAAAAATTTGTTGAAAAAGTGTATGGAAAAAACATTATAAATAAAAGAAAAATTAATTTAAAAATCTGCCAACGACAGGTTATTTTAAAATATAATATAAATAAAATTGCGACAAAATATATTCATTAATTACAAGAAAGATGAAAATAAACAATTAAATAAGATACAAAAAAAATATTAACAATCTGCAAATAATCTAAATTATTTTATACTCAGTTAACAATTTAAATAAACTCCCTAAAGTATGCTTTAATTTTCTTAGTTTAATGTGTTTTTTTTTGTTTACAGCTTGATAAACAATTAATGAGTAAAATAAGTAATTGAGTAGATAAAAAATTGAGTGTAAATTTTATTCTTGTTATTAACTAAATCACAACAAACAAATTGAGTGATATTTTCAAACAGCCATCGAGCACTCTACTCAAGAGTAAACAATTAAAGAAAAACAAAAAGAGATACAAAAAATAAAAACAAAACAAAAAAAACATTTAGCAGAATTTCTTTATATAAATTAGAAACTTGTAGCAAAAGAATTTGCGTAAAGAGTACAAATAGTTTTGTTTTCTGTCCCTGAGCAATTAGTTTTAATTAAAAAGCGAGCGCGTTTATTAAAATAAAATACAAAACAAGTAACAGCAAGAACAGAAAACGCGCAAAGTAATTAAAATTAATGAACAAAATTTACGTTTTTTTTTAATATTTAGAAAAAGGTAGACAGAAAACGTAGAAATTACCGAGTAAAAAGTGGTGTTGTTGTGTTATTTAATTAATATAATTTAATATTTGTTGGATTTTGTTTATATGTATAAAAATCAGCTGTTTGACTGATTTTTAAAGAGAAATTTAGTTTGCAGTCTTCTACGTCATACGTTTAGATGAGTGTTAAAAGCGCGTGCTTGTGAATGTCAAAAAAGTTCTCTTGTCTGTGAGTGTAATTATTGTATGCCTTGCAAAAAGTCTATCAATATGAGTAATTGTAAGTATAAATACATATCAATGATCTTTAGTTAAAAAACAAATAACTAACAATATTATTCCTATATAATAATTCCAATTAATTTCCCTATTTAATTGATTAACTAAGTCTTTCGGAATTATTTTAAATCAAGGAAAATTATGATTTAAAGGATTCACATATTGATTTAATGATTTTTTTTAACTTACCTTAATTTGGCTAATCCCTTTCAAACACTTTATACATATGTACATGTAATATATAATTCAACATTTAAAAAAAATTATTATTATTATTTTATTAAATAAATAATTAGTTAACACTTTTTTAATATAAAACCTTTTTGTTTTTAAGTATATACTTTTATTTAATTAAAATATTTTAATCACAATAATCACAATATTTTAATAAATTTTTCTATAAATTACTTTAAGAACATTTTTACAACAACCGTATTTCACAATAAATGTTAAAAAACTAAATGAATATGCAAACATTTAACGAAAGGAATAAGTAAGAAGACACAAATAACTGTAAAGAATAATCACTCAATATGTGTATTAGGGTGTCCCGTGTACCATTTCTTTTGTATGAATTGCTCTCAAACGATGCGTTTTAATCAAGGTTGGCAACCGTTATCGCTAAACTATCGTTGCTGCTAAAATACCTTTTCAGCACTACTAGCGTTACCGCTAAAAAAGTATAAAAGTTGTTGCTTACGTGGACGATGTTGTGATATTGGTATCAGGAATGTTCCCAGACGTGATTAGTGATATCATGTCTAACGCTTTGGTGCTACTCGATAATTGAGCCACAGACAGCGGCCTAGGAGTAAACCCAAGCAAGACAGTACTATTCACGACAAAGACCAAGATTGCAAGCTTCAACTAAGAAGAAATATGTTGTAGATCAGCTATACAAAGTCAATTACCTCCAATCTTGAACCAACCATCCGATTACACTGATTTTGATAGAGTTTTCAAAGAGAGAGTTCCTTCCAGGAGCGAGTGGTGTAGGGGTAACCTACCGAGCGAATACACTACCAGAATCTTTACAGATGGTTCTAAAATGAACTGTGGTGTTGGTTCTGGCGTCTTCTGTGAAGACACTGGGATAAGTATATCTCAGCGCCTTCCCACAACCGTAGTGTCTTTCAAGCTGAAATATTTGCGATAATGTCAGCCTGTATGGTACTACACGACCTCAATATTCGCGGCAATATAGGAATTTTTGTCGATAGTCAAGCGGCACTTCTCTCACTAAATTCTTATACTACCACTTACCTATTAGTTAGGCAATGCAAGAAGGATCTATCAAGGCTGGGTCGCCTGTCTGACATTACTCTTGTTTGGGTCCCTGCGCATAGGGACTATTATGGAAATGAACAGGCAGATGATCTTGCCATAACGGGATCTGCTCTTGATATTTCCAACGTTCCAGTAGCAACCCCGTTAGGTTTCATCAAGAGTAGTATCCTCAGATTCTATCTTCAAAAGGCTGAAAAAAGGTGCAATAACCTAGACACATGTAAAGGGGCCAAGATGCTGTGGCCCTTTTTCAATGGGAAACGCACAAAAGTCACTTTATAAACCGAAGTAGACGGGATATATCGAGATTAATAGCAGTAATAACAGGACACTGGGTGCTAGGCAGACATGCAAGTAGCCTTGGCTACCCTTCAATGAACACTGTCGCAGTTGCAAAGACAGGGAAAAGGAAGAAACTGTCTTCCATCTTCTCTGTGAATGCCATGCTATATTCGTGAAATATCTGGATCTAAGCTTAATGATATCCTAAGATTTCTCACTGCTACAAGCTGGATCTAAAACTGTAATATACTATATCTAAAGAGGGGAGTGGTTCGGTCAAGATGGAGTCTCTTGACTCTACTTGACTGTTCGCTCGTAGTGAACAACAATGTAAACTAACCAACCAACCGTTACCGCTAGAATACCGATACCGAAATATTTAAATCGAAATAACGATAACGCTAAATTATCTACACCGAAACAAATTAAAATAACGCAAAAATATCATTACGTTATTCTATTAAAAAATAAAGTATCCAAAAAGTAAATAAATCTTAATTAATATTGTTAACATCACCACAGACTAGACCGTAGAATACAATATAGACTAGAATATAGAATAGACTATATACTAGAATATAGTCAAGAATATAGGCAAGACAATTAACAATTGATTAGACTAGAAAGTAGAGTATAATCTGCCTATATTCTAGTCTATAGTATAATCTTTAGTCTGGCTTTGTTTATAGTCTAGTCTATTCTCGCTAGTCTTTGTCTGTTATTACGAGTGCCGACAAACAATAAGCCAAAATAGAAAAATATTCTGTAACAGAGCCAGAGGCAAAGTATGATGACCATAGGTAGGTCCTACCCCCCATATAAAAATAACTTCAGAAAATTTCTTTAACGCTCATTGCTAACTTAAAAATACCACAATGTCAATGAAATTTGACTTAAACAAGTGTTATGGTAACAAAAATCATTCTACCAAATTTTAGAGTTTATAATTGACCCTACCTCCCATATAAGACCTCTTAAGAAAATGAATTTTAAGTTCATTACTGAAAATATTACAAGTACAGCGATGAAATTTAACATAACAAGTTTTTTTCGTTCTACCAAATTTCACGAGGATAAGTCTATATAACAAATAGTATAATGATCGGTTCATAATTGGCCTTAAGGTCCGATTCAGAAAATGACTTTAACGTTTATATCTTGTTAAAAATGCCAGTATAACGATGGAATTTTAATCATTATTTTTCGTATTATGAGGATTGGACCATAATTGACCCTACCTTCATACAAGCTCATTAGGAACCGAAACCTATATTTATGAAACCTAATTTTAAGATGATTGAGTACCAATATAAACTCTCTTGCAGAAAATCAGTTTATAGCTAATAAATCATTCCAAAAGTTTAGCATTATGATAGAATTATGGTAGAATTAAAAAAATTATTACTTCTTCAAATTATGGAGATCTTGGTCCATAATTGACCAAATCCTACATTGAAGGCCCTATTCCGAAAATCACGATGACGTTTATTAGATTACTTAATTGTCAAATTCCATATATAGAACACTTCCGAAATTGACTTTAATCCTATATATTCTGCATAATAGAACGAGTTTAGTTTATGTAAAAAAAACCTATATGCCTAAAATGTCCAACTTTGACTCCCTCTAAATGTGTCTGGCCCACTACCCAATACTACTAACCTTGGTACAATATTCATCCAAATTGATTTTTTAAGTTAGGTCACTTGACACGAAATTGCCCACATGAATAAATCACCATATTTTTAATAATAATAAAATAATAATAAAAAATATAAATTAATACTTAAATCTACTTAGGAACCAATATGGCACCAAGAATTTATTGTTGAAAACTGATTTTTTAAAAGATGCGTTACATGGGGGATTCAACTATGGTTCGACCGTCATTCATCAGGTTATTTATGTCAAATTCGCTTATAAACACCAATCCAAATGGTGTTTATATCATCATTAAAGCAAGAAACTGTTTAAAAGAATTACATATATATTTGTAAAGAAATCACATAGTCAAACCATTAAAAACTCTTCAACTTCTTGGATCTTTGTTCACCTACCTAATTACTCTAATGAACATTTCTGATATGTATACCAACTCATGCTGGCTGACTATGAACAAAAAAATTTAATTACATCTTAAACATTAGTTAAACAGCTCTTGACAACTCTTAACTAGAAAAAAAGACACACACAAATAAACTCCTATGAAAACTTCTTACAGTAACTTTGGCATTTTCAGTCAATTAGCCAGTCAGTCTCATCTTCAGTCATATGAAATGTTTTAATTTTTTTCCTTTTCATTTTCAGCATTTGACATAGCAACCCCAGTAGTAACAGCATTAGACGTTACAAATGGTAAAGAGTTAAATAGGCAAAAAGCCTACAACTCCCCCAGATCAACAACAACAACAACGCAGTGTGAAATACACAAGGACAAGAATAATGATGACGAGTACTCCAAAGCTCAACAACCAAGTCAAATTACTCTCCAACAAATTAAGAATAAAAAGCAACAGCAAAATCGGCGAGAAGATACAACGAAAGCTGCAGGAGTAAATAAGAAAATCCACCAAGATGATGGTGATGACGACGATGATGAAGTAAGTGAAGAAGCTTTGGAATCAAATGAAAATGAACACCTGCTTGGCGGTCAAGAGCAACAGCAAGCAATGAAAAATAGTGCAACAGCAGCAGCTCGTGTTAATTTGAACGAAACATCATCCACAGCAACTTCAGATGTGAGGAGAGCTAAATACAAACGATATCGTGAAGATGAAGAAGGTAAGTAAAAGAAGATGCTGGTTACCAGACCAATAAAGTGTGTGGCTTTTTGGTTAAGGGAAACAGAAAAAAAAACTCAGCAATCAACACAAACATTTTGTGTAAATCAAGGACTTTAAGCCACAATGAAAAAGAGGTTAAATACCAGTTCAAATATGTAGCTTATATAAACTTGTGTGTGTGTTGCTCAGTCTTATAAATTCAGCGGGGAGTTTTTTGGGGGGAAGTTAAACAACCATAAACTTTATTATTTATTTCTAGTTTTTTAAATTTGAGTTTTTGACTTGAAGTACATTTACGTGGTCTACAATTGAAAATTTTGCACATACAGACACCCACTCACACATACATATGTATGTATGCAACACACAGTGGCAAGTGCATGTGGCACGAGTTGAAATGGAATTAACAGTAAAGAAAATCTATTTCATCTTTTTAAGCACATACACAAAACTTCACACCAGTAATAACAGTAACTGACAGACGGACAGACTGCTGCTTGACTTAAAGTCTTATGTGCTTATGTTGCATGCAACACTTGTTCAATTCTGGTAAATTTATTTTTATAGCCTCTTGAAAAGGATTAAATTAAATAATAAAAAAGTAATAAAGAACAAGAAACAAATATGTATGTATGTCTGTATGATTATACGGATGTGTTTGTGATAAAACAATTTAAAATGTAAATTTAACAAAAGTTGAGCTTTAATTTATGCAACACTAAAAAAAACAACAACAACTTTAAGAACAGCAGCATTGTAACAGCCAAAAACAACATTGTCCAAAATAATAAAATGAAATAAACTGTTCCCCAAAAAAATGTTTCTTCTTTTGTACGCATTTTTTCCACCAACAAATAACGATAAAGTCGGAAATTCTTTTGTTGTTGTTGCTGCTGAACTGCTTTATACATTTAACGGGACTAACACAATACTAAGTGCTGCACAAGTCGAGACAGTTAAAGATACAGTGGTGATGTTTGAAAGAATTTTCTGTAAATTTTCTATTTACATCGTATAGCACCATAGTGGGGTGGGTATTATGAGTTGGTGCTGATGTTACTGATCGGCTCAGAATCATTTTCTGAGTCGATTAAAGCATGTCCGCTTAGCTGGCAGTCCATATAAACCTTGTGCGCAAAATTTGGACCACATTTCATTTATGACCTAAGGGCGAATCCTATCAAATTGGTTAAAAGCGGTCCACTATTTTACCCGGCCCTATACAACAGTCACAAATACTTTCGTTTCGTTTTTGAATCGTCAAAAAGACAGGGATTAGTGACATGATAATTCATAGACTTAAATAAAAACAAGTAAGAAATTAAAGTCGAGCGTAACCGGCCATATAATACCCTACTCCAGTTATAAAAAAATGTGATTCAGTTTTCATAATAAAGCATTTAAGTTGAATTGTACCTTGCCTCAGATATACTTAAGCCATTTATTGTTAGGTCATATTTTGAAGGGGCCTTTGTATAGGAGCTAGGGTCCAATGAGGCCCTAAAATTATAAAATTCATCAGGGTTATCAAGGCTAGAATAGAACTTGGTTTTGCAGCTTTTTGTCGAGATACGAGTATATTAAACATAGTTATGAACTTAAAAGCCCTATTCGGCGGGTTCAGTTGTATGGGGGCTGTTTGAAATAATGGACCGATGTTGACCATTTTCGATATGCTTCGTTTCTGATACAATAGAAGATAATGTGCCAAATTTCATTGAATTATGTTCAAAATTGTGACTTGTAGTTTGATTACAAGGTTTACAAGCCCTATTCGGGGGTTCAGTTGTATGGTGGCTAGGTGAAATAATGGACCGATCTTAACCATTTTCAATAGGCTTCGTCCCTGGGACAATATTATGTATCAAATTTCATTGAATTATCTTTAAAATTACGACCTATAGATTGATTACAAGGTTTACATGGACGGACGGACAGATGGACGGACTTTGAAAATGATTCTAAGCCGATTGGTATACTTTATTAAGTTGGGTATAAGACCGATATTATTGTGCGTTACAATCATCACCACAAACCCAATATACCCTCCCCTCTAAAGTGGTGTAGGGTATAATTAGCGAGACCCCGTATGTATGGAGAAGTAACAAGGTACATATTAATGTTTTCACTGAAAATTAAAATTTTCCCCTGCGGTTACTATTTGCTGAGCTGCGCCAAAGGACAGAAAATATGGCTTAGTAATGTAAACAATAATATTTAAAACTTATTTATTATCTGTCTTCAATTGAAATTAGATTTTGTTACAGATGGAGTTTAAAGAAGTAGATTTTTTCAACCTACTGTTCACAATATTTGTTATTGAATATATTTTCTTTTTTTGACTTCAAAACTATGTATAAATGCAGATTTTGAGTTTCATTTCCACATTAGGATGGTAGGATTTATTTGGAGCGATGATATAATGATCGATGGAAAGGTATTCCCACATGAGATTCATAAAAAGGTTGTTCCTCGGGGCACTCTAATGTACTGTACTTACAAGTATCACACTTTAAAATCATTATATTCAGTTGAGACGATTTTTCAACTTCTTTAAACAAGTTCTTTATAGTAGTAATAGCTTGATTAGATATATTGGGTATAGAGGCTAATTGGAATTCATAGATACATATATCGTAAGGTTTTGGAATAATCATATTTTTTAGGGTCATCTTAATGTGATGTGGGTTAAACTTCACACAGTTAAAGTTTGCAAAAGTATTTTAGCCCAAAAATATGCAACACAACAATACCAACCCATGCGGTAACTGTAAAGTATTACTCCTACAACAACAGCAGCGCAATTTTCGGTTGTTGCAACAACAAAAACAAAACAATATTAAGTTCAATTTTATTTTTATTATTCTTGCAACAGTCTACATGCTACATTGCACTTCCGTTTATTTGTTGTTCTGTTTATGGAAGAGAAAAAGGGGGAATTTCTTATAAGAAAATATTTTTTGCTTTTTTTTTTTGGTAGAAATGTCTGCTAAAGAACTTGTATGTATTTAAATAAAATTTCAAACTGTCTGTTATAATGTTAACAAGTTTCCCTTGTTACTACTACTGTTTCATTATTTCTGTTCTGGCTGTGGATATGTGTAGTTTTGTTGTTCTTGTCGACGACATTGCTTTCTATAATGATTTCTTTTATTGTTAATACATATTTAAGAATTTATATTTAAAATTATTTGAGAAAAGATCTTGTTTTATTAAAGCAAATATTAAAGTTTAAATTAAATTTTACCATTATATACAAAAGTTAAATTATTATCGAAATACTTTGTATTGCAGACAATTAACATGATATGTAAGTGTGGTTTTTATAGGTTACATACATACATATGTATATCATTCGTCTGTATATCCCTTCAATTGGGAAATTTGTATGATTACTAACATACCCCTTTGTTGGTTAATGCCTGGCATCGTTTTAAGAGTAAAACTAGTAAAATAAAAAAAAACACTATATTGTATTTGTAGAATATTCAGTTTAAGCGGAAATTTTAAATAAAAAGAACATTTTGCAAATAACCATGCAACTGCTAAGAGTCTGCTTCGAAAATCAGGCGCCAACAAAAATAAGCCAGACATATTTCGACATACATACTTGTTAAATGAAAAAAATTTAAATGATGCGAGGGTTGATCTTAAATTTTGAAAGTTCTTTTAAAATATTTGCCAATTTGACAAACAAACCTCGTTAAAGGAAATATAGAAAATCATGGATACAAGTTTCTTTTATAAACAAAAATATGCACATGTTCATGTCTATATAGAGGAGAAATTGAAAAGAATAAAAGGAATTTCTCAACACCACTAACAAAAATATATGTATTTATAGCAAGCAGCAACATTTAAAATACATAATAAAATCCCAGTGCAACATGATTATTAATGCTTCAATAAAAGCAGATACATTTTAGATTTTTTTTTTTCGTGAAAAAAAAAACACAAATTTTAGAAAAAATTCCAACATATAAGGATGAAAAAAATCCTTACAAAAGGAATGCAAAAAATGTGGCTCATATACATAAAAAGCACTATGAATACCCCTGCAGTTCGAGATACATAAGTCTCCCAAGATTAAAACGAGAGCAAAGCCAGTCGTCACTTTAGTGTCCCCTTGGTAAGCGAGAGCAGAGACAGTCGTCACCTTACAGTCCCCAAGTAATCTAAAGAGTAAACACTTAAAAGTCATACCTAAGCAAAAATGTTAATTGCCATGCATTGACTAGCTTTCTGGCAATTTCTTTGTAATCGATGGATTGATAATCGACTTCCTTTTAGGACAAGCACATGTTAAAACATGTCAAAGGTAGCCCTAAGTGGTAGGTTAAATTCGTGACTGTCACGCCGAAGTGCTGGGTAAAGTGCAGTTGGTTATGTGTGAGTTCATACGAGGGTGATTCAATAAGTCCATGACTTTTTCAATTTCCCGTCTATTAACTAAATGGACAACAGTGTCATTGGTATCTGTCAGTTTCCTCAAGTCAAAATTTGACAAAGCTGCGGGACTGCAGGAGAAAATGGAAAAATGTGAAAGTTATGGTTGATAAATAATATCAGAACTGTGGACCATCAATTTTAATGGTAAAAAGCACCGAAGTTGGCCGAAACAATTAAACAAATTCACAATAATGTTTCCCGATCAGACTTAAAAATTGCCCAATCAAATTTATCGCTTGGCGATACCAATTTTTACTTCAATAGAGATAATATATAGAAATCTAAAATAATTTGTTATCCGAAAAACTGTCACGTACTTATTGAGTCACCCTCGCATTCTATTCTGTGTACAATTTTATTAAATGTAAGATTTTTGCTTCAATGTATTTATAATATTATAAAGGAAGAATGCAAGCTTACTTATGTGGTAGCAAGAGAGTGATTTTGATATGGTTTCATACACATTCACACTTTATGCAATTATTTGAGCGTAAAGTAAAGAAAAAACCAAAAATAATACTATAATAATTGTAAAAAATAGATTTGTGT